TGTTATTCTGTGAAAGGTTATACACTTCATTATGGAGTACTTGAAACGCTTGATTTGTATTTAAAAAAGGCTATCATAACATGCTTTAGTCATTAAAAATCAATTAGCAATTTACTGAAGAAATAGAAAGCAAGCCCTGGTGTCCTAGCTAACTTGCTTTCCATTAACCTGCAGCTCAACAGTATTTTACACTGGGCAAGACAAACTCCCTTTCTTTTCCTTCAGCTCTCTGTTCTTAGCATCACAAGGTGGCTGCTTTCTAGTGATGGCTGCTCCATCTGTGGTGGATGAAACGTCCTGTAGCTTCCGTTTGTTAGCTGTTTTTGAAAGGCATTTGGAACAACGTGTAAGGATGTGGGGCTGGGAATTGTTAACTAAGGAGGGTTTAGTGAATTGTGTCAACCTTCCCCATTAAATGAAGACACATCCCAACTACGAGCTTGGTGATGATGAATCCTTATGTTAATAGATAATATGTATCTAACATTTTGAACTATGGTGCTGATGTAAAGAATGAGATGCTTGCAAAATGTGCCAGCCTCATATTCCTGGAAAAAAAAAAATCTCTAAACAGATAAAGTGGAATAGCAGCCGTGTCTGATGTGCCCCCACTCATGTCTCTTCACCTGGTTCTGCAGAATCAGAAGGCACAAGTGTCTTAGCTCCCTCTTTTTCTTCCTTGGCACTTCTGAAATCATAGGTTGTACCTACAGAATTAAAAATGCTGCTGTCACTTCTAGGAGGTGCTCTGTATCTTCAAGGTAAAAGCCTTCAGCTGGAGGTTGAATAGCTCTAGTCATGATAGCAATTGAGAATGATGCTTGGTAGAAGCAAGAGTTCTTCCACCGTACACCACGTCCAGCCATCCTCCACAGATATGCAGAATACCTTCTTTTCATCATGATGAAAAGCTTTCTACAATTAACAGGAAGTAAAATTATCAATGTAAAGTATCAGAATTCATTTTCTCTGGTCTGTATGTAATGATGCTGTTGGTGCAGTAGTGATGTTCGCTTGGCCCAGAGGGAAAGACTGACTCCAAATTTGTTAATGGCAAGGGTTATGCATTATAGCAAATGCAGTGGGGTAATTTGGTTTTCCCAGAGACTTGTTTATTTTCTTTTTGTAAAAAAACACCATGGTCTTTGGCTATGTGGCAGTTAAAAGCTCTGACGAAATAGTAATATGTGTTTATCCAACCCATCATATATCTCAGTACTTTATTACAGTTCCCTATGTAGAAGAGTATTAGTGCTCCTTACAAGTGTTTATTGTCACAAAAGTTTATTGATGGGACCCAAGGCAAAAGCATGACATAGATACAAAAAGAAAGTTTGAAGAATGTCAAATGCATTTCTTTAATCACTGTGTTTCCAAACATATTTACTATGGCTCTGATTGGGTAGTCCAGTTGGATATAGGTACCAAATCCAGTTCCAGGTGAGTACCTGTGTTTGAAAACAGGGCACGGCCATGCCTGCCAGAAAAAGGCAGACGCCGTCCTCTTTGGTGAGGGTCTCTAGTTGGTGGACCAACTAGACAGTAGCTCGATTGAGTAACGCTCAGAACTGGCACGTAGTGTAATGGTGGACCCTGCTATTGCCACAGAACTGATCAATTTGCTGAAACAAAGTTGATATTAGAGGAAAGATGTAGTTATTTTTGAAAGAAAAAGACCCTCCTGTTCCTTTCAGTGCAAGCGACTGGGAGAAGCCACAGCATGACCGGGCATTTGCACAGTGCGGCGACTTGGTTCTAGTCCCAGTCCCATCACCCTGAATCCTTTTGATCACTGAGGAGACTCTTAAGCAGGTTTCTTCCCTGAGAGGTACAGTAGCTCAGCCTCATCCAATTCCAGTAATCCTGAGGTTGGTCAAATTCTGAATACTTAGACAGTAGCATGTAATTGATAGAACTCAGTCTACCCAGTGTGTAGATGGTAGATCTCGTTCTGATCCTGCTGGGATGCTGTGACACTTCTCCACTTCGATAACTTAATTAAAACTTCTACTGTACCACCAAAGTTACTTAAGGGGTACAACTTTGCATTAAAGCCTCCAGCTGCAGTCAGCAAGATATATGTAGAGTTCACATGTGAGTTAAAGACTGCTGATAGATCTCCAGGAGGAAGTTTGAATCAAGCGGGGATGCAAGATTCATAATGCTACTGGTATAGGAGTGTTGTTCAGTTGGGCACAGGCTATTACAGACTTACAGGATACCTCCATTTTAGAGGAAGCATTTCCAGGTATTTGGCAGGATGAAATCTTAGGTATGTTGCTTAAATACATATCTATACATACCTATACATACCTACCTATGATCTGTTGCTCAGTCTCACAAAGAGTGGAGTTGTCTCAGCTCCCCCTAAAGTAAATGAGAGGAGAGATCATCCAACATACAGAGGAGTTTTTTGTGATAGATTCCAGGACAGATACGAAGTATTCAGCTTTCTGCAAAATGCTCATAGTTTCTCTGCTGTTGAAAGGTTAATATTGTTCCTGTCTCTGAGCTTCTTCCTTGCTTATATGATTGGGCACTAAGGAGGAGAAGCCCCAGTGGTCTGTTTTATCAGGAGGCAGGTTTATTTTTAGGACTAATTTGTACTGATGGTGGTTGGCACAGTCTTTATGCAATTTACAGCCATTGGGCCTAGCTGCAGTGGTCTGTTCTGTGGTTATGTGGCTTATGGAGCCACCATGGAAGTTTCTTTCTGGCTGGAAATTTCCTCATGACTTAATAGTACAAAGGGGCAAGCACCTGAATTATGTGCCAGAAACTCTGGCATGGGGTACAAGGATCCCCAAAACACCCTACATACTCACTTTCCCATATGATTGAAAGAAATGCTGGTAGGTAAGTACCGTGCAATTGAGGGTTTTTCATCACAATCGGTCATAATTAAAGGAAAGTCAAGTCATCATTGTGCCTGCACTGTTGCTTTCTTATGGCAGTTTTCCAAAGTAATTTATAGCTATTGTGTAGAACACTTTATATACATAGTGGCATTCTTTATATAAGAGAGGGGTTGTTAAGTCTCATTTCTTGACCTGTTTCCAGCTTGGGTGGTTATGCTTTGCCTGCCCAATTTCTCCTCTGTGACTTAAGATAAACATGCTGTTCTGCCTTGTATCATGCTGTTGTGTTCGCTTTAAGCCATTGCAGAAGTATCAGTCTTTAACCAGTCAGTTATTTTTGTTTTAGCTGTGTTGGATGAAATGCAGTTGCAAACAAAATGAACAATTAGTGTCATTTGCTAATTATCACAGAGGTTCCACAAAGGTATTCGAAGGGAAACTGAATGATATGCTTGGAGAAAGTTTTGAGGGCTCCTGGGTTTCTGAAGAGAGGTGTTCAGTCACTTTAGTCACAAAATTTATTAATCGTCTGAGGAAGGATTTGATTAACTGTTTTCACAGAGGCAGGTTTTGAGTTTAGTCTTTAATGAATCTCCTCTAGTTAAGTTGCAGCTGAAGGAGCCCTGAGATAGAGTTTCTGGATCGCCCCACTGACCATGGACAGGTGCCAAACAAGGACTTGAGTGACTGTACTTTTAGAGGAAAATGGATGATGTTCTATCCACAAAGAACTGATTATATTAGTGTTACTCTCCTGCCTTATTCTACTGAAGGTCTGAAATTCCTTTCCTGAATTGTTACAAGCCTTGAGTTAGATCTCCTCCCCTGAAGTGTGTCTCAGTGCCCATGTATGGAAGAATATTTCTCCTGTGATCACAACGAATGCTTGGGTTGCAAAGGAGAGAGCGTTTTCCTAGAAGAAGAAAATAACAGAGGAGACAATTTTCAAAAGCACTGAAACCAAAGTAACTTAGACTGCTTTATGCCTTTAGATACTTTTAAATTGAAAATTTAAATTCATAAATCATTTTAGAGCCCCTGAAAATGTTAACCACTGCCTGCTTCTTTAATGATATTATGTCTATTCAGGAGATAAATGTTTTTGAAATGTAAAGAAAAGGGGGCTGTTGTATTTATGACACTGTCATGTGAATGAGATGCTATTAGGGCACCCAGCAACTTCCCAAATTTTTGAACTTCAAAGGAGACCTCAAGACAAAATGCTTTTAGAATGCATAAAATATCATTATGCACTAGAGCTGCTCTATGCATAATACACATTCTGGTGCTCAAATGATGGTGTGCCTGCTTCACTTGCAGATAACTACCTGTAATAGTGTTAAAATCAAACCTGTGCTCAACACATTCAATTTAAAGTCTGAAATTCTCTTGAGTATTCAGTTGTGTAGGGTTTGTGTTTTGGCATGGAGGACAGATTCCTCTCTGGAGAGAAAGTTAGTTTGTGGGAAAGCTTGAGAAAACACTTGACCAGGTCAGAACATGATGGGTCTTGATAGGACTTCCCTCTAAGGGATATAGCTACTGCTCTGACTGTTTTAAACTAAAAATTACCACAGCATTGCCAAGAAAATATCAGTATTTGCCCACATGCCACTACATACTTCCCTCTGAGGTATGTGAACCTGTGTTTGCAGATGGGAAATTAATGTTAATAGCACATTGTAACAATTCTGAGCAAGCATTAACAATATTTATGCTGACAGCAGAGTCATGCATACATGCAACGGGTTAGAACACAAGTTTAAAAGTCACTAAATGGACCTTTGTAGTCGTGCAAGTAAGCTCCATAAAATGATAACCTGCAGCTGTGAGTATTCAAAAAAAATGCCTGGGTGGCACCTTGGTGCATCCCAACCTTCATTAATCTTTGCCTGCAAGGAAACAGGTAGAAAACCATGCAATCAAAGGAGAGAACATCAGCAAGAACACCCAGAAACACTTGGCTGTGGTTATGTGAAACCCAACCACAGGCTCTGTTTACAAACCTTTCCATCTGTTCCTTTGCCTGATCATTTCTGCTTTCTCTCTCTGTCTTCTAACTTTCCTTCGTCTTTCCAGATGCAGGACGCTATGGGCTATGAGTTACCATGGGTGTATTTTGTCAGTCTGGTCATCTTTGGATCCTTTTTCGTTCTAAATCTGGTTCTTGGTGTGTTGAGCGGGTAAGCCAACAGTTTTGGTGTCCTTTTTCCAATGCTACAGGGCAAGACTCCATAATAAGGGTTCTTCCCTGTCACCAGGATTCTTTCTGAGGGATTGAAAATCTAAATCCAAGAAAGTTTTCACATTAACTTGAAAGTAATTTTACAAAATATTAAAACTTGGCAAATGAAAATACAGGTAACAGAAGAAGTTACTCTCTAGCAAAGAAATTCAACCTGAGGGCATCCAAAATTGGTAGTGCCAACCTTTCCTGAACTTTCATTTAAAAAAGACTGTTGAAATCCTTACTGCTGGTGACTTGGGATCTCTTTGGCTGGAGCCTTGCAGTGCTCAGAAACTGAGCTTGTCTCACTAATTATCATTCCACTCTTCCAGGTCAATGATGCCATAGGAAGGGACTGGCCCTGGATCTATTTTGTTACACTAATCATCATAGGGTCATTTTTTGTACTTAACTTGGTTCTCGGTGTACTTAGCGGGTAAGCAGTACCAGGAAAATGTTTTATTATTGTTTATTTTTTAAAATTTGTATTTCTATTCCTACTCTCTGGTTGCCAAAGCAGTGGGCAGTGGTGGGGTTATCTCAGGAACCTTTAATAGAATGCCTGGCTTATTGCTGTGCAGATGGCAAACTACAGCATTCCAGATGGCATGGAAGGAGCCTTTTGAGTAAACCAAAGGAATGCAAGACAACTCCTTGCCTTTAACGCATTACTCCACCTAAAATCTCTACCTATGCTCTGTGGGAAGAGCACAACACTATAAAGCCCATACCATTCACTGCAGAAGGGAATTATTGTAAAATCTCTAGCAGAGTCAAGAGGACTGAAGGAATAAATAGAGCACATCAGGCAAATCCCTCCACGTTTGCACAATGAGATTCCTGCCAAATTATGTCTTCTCACATGAGAAGTTTCCACACTGCTTAATATCTCTAAAGCACAGTCTGATGGGAGACTATTTTCTCTAGAGAGAGTCTTGGACATGTTTCTTCTTCAATAAGCACATCTTCTCTGTTGTGCAGATTACAAGCTTAGGCATGATGCAAGGAGAAAAGATCATTTCCCTCTGACCTAAGGATGAATACAGAAGCAGGAGAATTGCTTCTAATGTTTAAACATTCCTAGGACAACTAGAGGTCTATCTGTGCTTCCGTTCTGCAGTGTAACCCTCACTGCAAGGCATCACTTTGGTAGCTTTGATTGAAAACAATGGATACTGCACTCAGTAATTCAAAACTTCATTGTCCTTGGGGAGTGAGATAATTGGAAAAATCAACCCAACAAGCATTCCTTGCCAGATTTTTCTTTTTAAAGTTCTCCTAGAATTAGGCTTCTAATTCCATATTAGAGCATGAATAGATGGTTAAAGCCATTCTATATAGATGCATAAATATGCTTTGAGGACTTTTTTATGCATCCTTTTTTGGTTTGTTCCTAATGTCTTGCCTCCTCTAACGAGCTCCACATGAATTTGATCAAAGGCTTTATCTGTTAGCCGGGTAGGCAGACCTGAAGCCTCCTGTATTTTGATCATAAGAGAGGACTTGATGCCTCACAGAAATTATATCACTCAGTACTTGGGTCAATAGAATAGGAAGGACACTAGTAGGACCAGAGAAGATCCTCCACTGACCATCCTCTGCAAAGAGACAGGTAATAGTGAATCTACAGGAGGTTTAATATTGTCGTTGTAACTCTATTGAAGTAGGCATGCAGTTCGGAGAGCTGCTGCATAGAGAAAGGTGTCCAAAGTGTACAAGGAGAAAGAAAAAAATCCCTGGAATGAAGTGTCAGGCAACAGTCTGTGTTGGATATCTGGAGAGTGATACTTAAGATACAATTTTAAGAAAGGCTTCTCTCTGCTTCACATGGATAATCTAACCAGCAGTTACGGACATCAAGAGTAGCAGAGGATGATGATCAGTCAAAAGTGAATAAGCAGTTTGTCATGTCAGAGACGCAATCAAGGACCAAAAAAGACTGGTTAAAGATTATACAGTACCTGACTGGATGAACAGTGCCCATGAGCACAGCTGTTAAGATGCTGAAGCAGGGTTAATTCACCTTACCAACTCTTGTATTTGTGTTGGTACCCAACTGAAATTTGAATTTCCCCTCTCTCACATTTTTCAACTCAATAAAATGTTTTGGGACCGAGATCCTCCATCTTATGAGATACTGCAGCTAGACTTTGCTAGAGCCTGTGGTGAGAGATGGATATTGTAGGTAGAGAGGATTGAAATCAAACATGCAGTTCACCTTGTTTAAGCTGTGAGTCACTCTTCCTGGCTGTGTTCACAGTATTATGACAGCTGCACTGTTTCTTCCATCTTTTTTTTTTTCCCAACTCAAGAAAAGTAAAAAGAAACTTCAGAATCTGTATCAAAAAAAAAAAAAAAAAAAAAAGATGGGAGAAATGTTCCAAATTTTATTTGGGCTAAGTAAGCAGTTTTAAACAATTAACTTTCTAAAGCAGTTCTAAATTTTGCTGAGTCGAAAAGTGTCTGCAGATTCAGCTTTTTCTTACAGGCTTCCTTCTGCTATAAGTTTGTTCTCTGTGGCTAACCCACTGATTTGTTCTGTGTAGATCCAAAGCAGTATTCCTCATCATCTTCACAGCTCCATTCTGGACATCTCTGATTACTCCCTATGTATTTATTTCAGAAACTTCATCAAACATGTCTTGCAGGATTTCATCAATGATAGATAAGGGTAGTTATTTTAATCACTTCTGAATACACAAGCGTAATCATTTGTACTCACCAAGATGTTTTCATCACACCCACACTTTTTGCATTTGCACAATTAAATGCCAAGTTCTGCTCTGCCTAAATATCACACTTGTAATTTGTTTTCCCTTAAGTATTTCATAGTCATCTTGGTGAATTTAAGTCACATGCTAAGATAAATAATCTGAAAGAATATTCATATGTAGAGCTATAGTCTTTGCATCTCAACGGAGCCAAACATATAATTTTAGTATTCCAAAGGATCTATCCAGTCAATGGGCTGCACAGTGGATGTCTTTAAGACCAAGCAAAAGGATTTACCATTGTTGCTGCGTGTGAAGCCATTGTCTTCATCCTGGAGGGGTCTCCAGAGATCAGAGATGTTTGTATGCGTGTTATCTGTTTTGCTCAATTAGTGAGGAAATTAATGGCAGTATTGCTCACATATCTTGCCTAGCAGTAATCCAAATCCCAGGACATAGGCCAAGCAAGTGGTTTCCGAGGGCAAATGGAGGGCAAGAGAACAGTCATATCTTTTTGCTATGCTGGAAAACCCATTTGACTGCTTCTGACATTTCTTCTGGCAAGGAAGAGATCAGAGTGAATGAGGGACTAGCTATGACTGTAGCTCCTCCTGGGAACAGCCAGGGCAGAATTTTTGACCCTTCTGGACTCTTCCCCAATCTTCTATTCCCTCTTCCAGCCCATCCCATTCCTTGCTATAGCTGTCAGAATGCATGAGGTTAAAAGCCCTGCATCAGTCCTTAAGCAAAAACTCCTATCACTTCTTAAAATGAGAGTAATCCTAGAGAAATGAGATACAGCCAAGAATTATCCATATTCCATCGCCACGATGGGCAAGAGACGTTTTCTTCTGGATCTACACAGGATACAGAACTGTCTTTATAGATCTACAATCTTGACCTACCCTAACTTCACTAAGAAAGCCTCTCTCCAGAATATTCTGCTTTTATAGTATTGTTCACATTGGCAGATGTATCTTAGAGTTTTCTGGGAGAAGAGAGGGAAAAATGAAGCAAGCTGTATTCTTATAAAAACAACCCAATTCACAGTTTCTTGAACTGATGTTTTCCAGCCCAGTGTAGAGACAGACAGCTTGGTGGCTCTGCAAGCCTCTGCCATCCTTACCTGACATGACAGTGCAATGTCTCTTTGAGAAGGCCACCTCCAGACTCAAGATGACAATTCCATCAGGAAACTTATTTGGTCCTTGGCCTCCCTGCTGAAACTGCAAACAATGAGTGTTTATTGGCAACTGTGCTGGTGGCAGAAGCAACGTGCACCTCTGCCTGCAATAGGAACTGCATGGAGGTCACCAACTCATTTCACACGGGATAGTAAATGACTGCTCACTGGTAGTAATTCGTGGTTGCAAACTACATTCACCTAGGTACAGTCTGGCATTTCACCTTGGAAGTGCTTTGAATTGCATTAGCAACTTCCTGAGCCACTGTTTTAAGTGGTATAATGTTAGAACGTAGAAATTAAGACTATTTAAAGAAGTTGTCTTCTTTGGAGAGTCATCTGAGATGTGGGATACCGTACATTGTACAAGGAAAGAGACATGCAAATGGGTATCTTTTACACTGAGGAATCACAGTATTTTCCACTGTGCCATTAGAAAGTTGGTAGCAAATTCACTCTTGTGCAGATGATCAGTGTATAAATACACGGTGCAAAAAAAACTCACATTATTTTTGTCAGTTCTCCTGTCCATCCAGTCCTCTTTGAGCGAAACAGTAAGTGGGGCTTGAGAAGAAGTAGATATTCAGCTTAAATGAATCTAATGTAATCATCCACTTTGGGGCACAGTAGGAATTTCACTTTCTGTGAGCTGGGCCATGCCAGGCTGTTTTTCACACTTCGGTGTTTCAAGTTTCCCCTTCCAGTAATACCCATGTAAATATAAATAGTTTTCACTTGGGATCGAGGGCCCAGACCATTTTAAAACCCTACCTGTTTCTTACTGGTTTCTTGTTTAATTTATCAAATAGTATTAATAGTACATAGCCTTATTCAAAGATTTTTTTTGAGTTAATGCATCAATTTGGCTAAGACATTTCCTAGAGGAAAGATGTTTTTGAAACAGAACATTTAAATTGGATTTTTCAAAAACTTTTGTTTCATTTTTTTATGATTGTTGTTTACATGTATTTTAAACAACAAATGGTTCCCAGCAAGAAAAAGAAATGATTTTTCATTCTTGCCGTGTTTGCAATAGCTGTTTCTTTCTTGTGGCCAAGTTTGTTCATGCTCGAGAAGCCAGTGATTCGCTGCTTCATTTCCACTTTAGTTATCACAGTTTTCTGGGACAAACTTGCAACTATAGCCATGTGGTAGAGGTTAGGATTACAAGGCATCCTCTGTCACATATTGGGGCTTGAAATGAAGAGCTAGGCATCCTTTCCTTCTGCTGCAGTGCTGCTGTTGTGCCCTGCTTATAGAAAGCCTGCTCCAAAGCGTATCAAGTCAGTGGAAATTTTTCTGTGTATTTTGGCTTAAACAAGAGGGAAATACTTCACCCTCCGTAATTTCATCTAGGTTGCTTGAAGATACTTGTGCAGCTCACATTCACATTTTTGGGCAATGTTTTTATAGTCTTAGCATTATTATTCTTGTCCAAGTACTGGAGGATTTCCTGCCATCTTTTGCACGAGCAAGTGTAAAGCAAAACTCAGTGGGAGGGTTGGAAACACCACTCATTCCTAATCGGCACCAGCCAGGGAATGGATGTTATAATGCAGAGAATGAGCTTACCTCTCATTTCTAGACACACTAGGCCATATCATATGCTGTACATGCCTTGTGTAGCAATTGGCTTCAGTAGATGCAGGTCTTAATGCTTAAGTGCTCTTGATGCAGAACTTTTCACAATCATTAAGCACACTTCTTAAAATACCAACATTAAAACCTGGTACAGAACCACAGGAGAGTCTCTAAGTGGAGGCAGCTCAGCATTTATAGAGAAAAGTAATCCTCCATATGAGTCTCTGACAGAAGATACAGCCTACATCCTCCAAAAGGAGACAAATTAGGCATCTTGAATCATAACTAAGCAGCATAAAATTCTTGTTCCTACACTTTCTGTTTAAACTTGTATTCCCAATAAAGGTTTTTCATCAAGCCACCAAGTTCACTTTCTGATAGGATTTAATATTGCTCATATTTATCTCCCCAACTTTATATTTGAAAAATATTTTTTAAGTTGAGATAACAGACCTGAACATTGAAAATCTGCAGTAAAATATTGAAGTCTGAATTTAAAAATATACTATCCAGTACTGTGGATGAATTTACCTGTAATTAAATGTGTACAGAATTGTGGGTACCATTAATTACACTTGTAATTAACCCAATTTACTTGTGGTTACACCTGTAATCATAAGGGCCGATTGAGAACTGGCTGAAATTAGAGCCACTGTCTCACTCTCCAGATGTCTGATTGTTGTCAAACGATTCATTTTTGAATTAAATAAATTACGTATATAGATATTTGCAGATAGTAGTTAGAGGTAATCAAGTTGTAAAGGATATTAGGAAGCAAATGGTATTCTGCATAATTGTTATATATGAGTTTTGTTTGAATTACCAACCAAATGTTGAGAATGATAGCATTGAAAAGGATGCTTATCTTTAAGTGCTAGTAAGAATGTGGACACTCCAGCTGTTTTACCTGTATATCTAGCAAGAATGCTCCATATGTGTGTGACTTTGAAAGAATAGAGAAAGTTGATGGTGCTACGCAGGAAGAGGAGTCTTTCTAGTGGAAATCCATCTAACGCATTGTTTTTCAATCTCTTCCTCTCTTTCCACCCATACCCTGTCCCTCCCTCCCTCTTGCTAGGGAGTTTTCCAAAGAAAGAGAGAAGGCCAAGGCTCGTGGTGATTTCCAGAAACTGCGGGAAAAACAACAGCTAGAGGAGGATTTGAAGGGATACTTAGACTGGATAACACAAGCAGAAGATATTGACCCAGAAAATGAAGATGAAGGCATGGATGAGGAGAAGCCTCGAAACAGTAAGCAATTTTCTTGTGTCTCTCTTTCTTACTGTGCTTTTAGCAAGGGAGCTCATGTCCATGTGGTCTAGTGCTGAGAATGCTTACTTGACAGAACAAGTTCTTCCTGGGACTCTCACTGTCCTTAAGTGTGATCCCCATAATGCTTTTAGGGAACTGTATGAGGGTGAAATGCACCCCAAAATTTTTGCTCTTGCTGTTGTTTTGCAGATACACAATTCCTTGTCTGTAATACTGACATTAGATACTGATACTAAATAGGAAAATATATATATATCAGTACTTGCTCTTAGAAGTCTGCTACTGGGATAAGTTTTAAAATATACATCTGTCTCCTGTTCATTTATATAATTGCAGTTCAGTGTTGCAGGCTGTTGACACATGGTTAATTACTTTGAAAGCAAAGGTTTCTAGGCAAAGCAATACTACAGTATGGGAGAAAGGCCAAATCAACCCTGTTGTACATTAAGTGGGCCATCTGTAACTCCATTGAAATCAGTGGAATTGCATTTGCGTTTGCCAGATTGGAATTAAACTCTCAGAGATTTCTTGTAAGGGAATTATCTCTTATTCTTCTTCTCTGGAGTTAAGATGTTTGCGCAAAGTAAGAATTCAACAACTATCTCTGCTAATCAGAAATGCTCGAGGAGGAAGCCTTTGAAGAAAGCAGCAATTCCCTACATGTCACTACCTACCTTGAATCTTCTACCTTCTCTTTTACCAGCACGGTCTGTGTATCACTTCAGAAACACCTAGCAGTTACCATTGCAAGTCATGCAGTCTAGAAGCGTTAGGGTTGGAAGCTTCAGACAGCTACACAGTCCATAGCCACTGGCATTAGTCTTAGTTTTCATTGCTGAAATATGCATCGTATGCATTTGAGTCTGCAAGAGATGATGTGAAACATTTCCTTTCAAACTAAATAAAAAAAAAATCTATAAGATGATCTCCTTAGAATCATATAGTCCCTCAATAGGACATTGAACATTGAACATTGGAAGGTTGTGTCAGCAGTAGAAAATAAGATTTGTATCAGATGCTTTTGATTTTTGAGGGGGAGTAAACACTACTCCATGTAGGTGTCTGAACACTTAAGTTCTTGTTTTAGAAAATAAAACACAGGATCTTTAATATCAAATTATATTATCTAGATTTTTTATTTTATTATTTATTTTATCTGGATTTGAGGGAGTAAGCAGAGTTACCAAGTACTCAGACCTTCCCCAGATTAGGTTGTTTTGTCTTTTTTATTTTTATTTTGTGTGTGTGTGTGCATAAGCCTACATAGGGCTTACGACGCAATTTGAGAAGGAGACTCAGGAATCACTTGGTGATGAATTCACTCTTCATGGCCAGAATTTGCTGGTCTGGGATCTATACATGGAAGGGTCTGATGGTCTAATTTCAGTTCTTTGTAGACAGCGCTCCATGTTACAAAAAAAAAAAAACACTTCTATAATGAACTCTGACTGGTGTCCTTATTATGAGGTCTGGGGTGGGGAGCCCTGTGCCTGAACTGATACACAGCTTCAGGCACCAGAAGGTCTCCCCTTGACTTCGGTGGAAACTGGGTCATGTTTATCACATCTGAACAGCCTTCTGTGTGCCTGCCAAAGGAGCGTGCAGCCCCACTGACAAGGTGGTGCGGTGGAAACCTGCCTTGGCTGTTTGCTGCTTTCAGTTTTTGTTCTTAACATGAAAATAATGCTGCTTCAGTAAGAGCTTTGCAGTAAGCCACAGGTAGTTTCATTGCAGTCGCCTTGGGAGGCAATCCAAATTGGAGCTAACAAACCCCATTTATAGGTGGTGATGTTTAGAACTGAACAATAATATATCTTCAGCTTGCTTTCACTTCTTCATATTCAGCTTAATGAGGTTAGTTTTGTTATACATGGTTTATAAGAATCAGTCGTGTTACATTTCACAGCTTCTCTAGAGTTTGTCTTGCTGTTCTGTTAATGACAGCATTGCATGCTAATAGCAAGCTAGCATGTTACACATTTCTTTCCAAGCTATTAATGAATGCACTTTCTTGGTACCATTATCAAGTTCAAGGGCAGTGGTTGTAAATCAGCCACTACTACAAAAACACTACATATTCTCTATGACACTATCATTTTGGGTTACTTTGTCAGTTTTTGTTACATGACAGACTAAGCTTGGGAACAGATGTCAGCTGTGCCTGTGCTGTAGGGTACAATTGTGTGTGTTGGGAAGAATCACTCAGGCTGTGAAGGAAGACTGTGAGCGATGCTGGCCAGGTGCTGGGGACAGCGCTCATGCTAACCAAAGTCTCTGCAGAACAGAATAGCAGAGACCAGGCAACCAGATCGCTCCATGAAGCAAATTTTCCTATTCCTCTGATACGTCTTGCCCTGTCTAGAAGAGGCTGCTAATAGTACTGTTCTTAGTATCTGTGGCCTGCATCTAAGAATGTCAAATTAATCTTTCTTCTGGCTTTGGCATACTGTTCAGTGATTTATCTGGGCCTGCCTTCTTCCACAAGACTTTTTGCCTACGGAAGTAGAGGGTCACTATACAGCCTTCTTCTGCTGAATTAGTAAGTAGCTTCTCAATGAAAACGGTAAATTGTTAGTGCCACTAAAGCACAGCTGTCTGCATGAGCACTAGCCCCTAAGCCCATGAGAATACTTGGATGCACCCAGGAGAGTTGCTTTGTGGCCTTATATATTTCATAAAGCACAATCCTTTTCCACGGCAGTACAACAGGAGGTTGTTGTATTCAGTTATGCACAATGACAGGTACCATATTGTTCAAGCCCTATTGTATTTCTTGATAGTTCTACATTTCAAACTTTATTCACATGACAAATGATACTGCATTTTCAAAGCGTAATAGCAGCACGCTATTCTCAAACGCAATACTTACTTCACTGGCTTACAACTCTGTCTCTCATGTATACTACACGGGAAGAAAATGCTAGTATACTTATTGGGGCAACCTATATACACATCCTATATATCCTTGTGCCTACAAACATACCTTCTACAAAGTCACCTCAAGCTACTTGGGTGCTGCAGGCCAGTGTTTGCCGTATCCACCAGTATCAGAGCAACTGAAAACTCCTTTCTGCTCTCCTGAATCTGAGTCACATTCCAGGTATACTGCTCATGGGGTGTGATGGATCTGCTGGAAAATTAGCTAAAAGAACACTGTGTAGCAAGATCAAACAGAGAAATGGAGGTACTTTTCTTAGTGGCATCAGTTTAAGATAATGCCATATAAAAAGTACCCTGAGTAAGTGATGGGGGGAAGGAGAGGAGAGCAGAGGTTGTGTGAGTGCTGTGCACTATGTTGAGTATTTTGGCATTCATGACAGTGTTCAGTCACTAGGAGGGTTAGACTAAGGGAGAAGGATGATATTAATCCTCTTCATCCAGACCATCTACAAGATAAGCACCAACCACACGGGACAGATGGCATAGCAATTAAGACCCAGTTGTAAATGCCCACAGGAATCCCTTAATCTTGATTCTCTCCAGCACAATTGAATCCCACCTGTTAGCTGTGCCAGGTGTCTTGGCATTGTGGCTGAGGCTCCGTATCCTCCTTTTCTTCTGGTGTTGAGCCCTCCCTGAAAGGGAGAGATCAGATGTTGAGTCAGTTTTAATCGAATCACACAGAATGGTTGAGGTTGGAAGGGACCTCCGGAGTGTCAGCCATTCCACCCAGCTTGGTATTGTCCGCAGACTTGCCCAGGGTGACCTCAGTGCCCTTGTCCAAGTCATTGATGAACAGGTTGAACAGCACTGGGCCCAGTACTGATCCCCTGGGGGACACCACTGGCCACAGGCCTCCAACTGGACTTGGCCCCATTTAGCCCTCTGGGTCTGCCATCCAACCAGTTCTCAATCCACCTCACCATCCACCCTTCCAATCTATATTTCCGGAGTTTTCCTATGAGGATATTATGGGAGATGGTGTCAAAAGCCTTGCTGAAGTCAAGGTAGACAACATCCATGGCTTTCCCATCATCCCACCAGCCAGTCATTCCATTGTAGAAGACTATCATGTTGGTCAAACATGACTTCCCCTCGGTGAATCCATGCTGACTACTCCTGATCACCTTCTTTTCTTTGATGTGCCTAGAGATGCTCTGTAGGATGAGCTGCTGCATCACCTTTCCAAGGACAGATCCTTGGTACCCTTCAAACTCATTACCAGCTATCTTCAATATAAGATGTTGATCTTCACAGTAGAGTGTTAGTGCCTACCACACTTCCTTTAGTGACATATTTGTTAACAATGTTAAGTTTTAAAGTATGGCCCCTGAGTCTTTCAAATAACCATTTATTGAAGTGTATGAGGCAGATCAGGCTTTCTACAGATCTTGTTTTATGTATTCAACAAACTTCAGGGGTTACCTTTGCATATTACAGATGCAGTGATGCTCAGGAGCACATGGGCACCAGCATGAACTCCGATGGTGACTGTTACTTCCAACAAATCACTTCAGGCTTTGCTTTCTCCATTTCCCTAATGTTTTGGAGGTTGCTTCGAGTTTTCTTTCATGAAGACCATCAGAATTGTTCAGCAGCATGTGACAAGCACATGTACAGATTAAACTAGAGTCTCAGCAAATGTAAATGTGCAACTCTGAGATTCAGTAATTCATACTGCCTGGATCTGGCCCAAGTAGCCTACCTGAATTAAATCATCCACAACGCAGAGAACTTATGTCTCCAGTCTCTTCTTTCTGCTCGAGAAGAGGCAGGTTTCGCTGTCTTCCTACATGGCAGGGAGAGCTGCCTGCCTGGCAGCATGAAAATTGCTGTAATGTAAATGCCGTAAAACAGAGAACACAGGGCAGAAGGGAAGAGAAGTTCACTTGGATCCCCATTTGGTCTGATTGCCTGTGCCAGTCCTTAGAAGTGCTGCTGGCCGCGGTCCTATTTGGCATGTGCCACTGTTTTCCTGAAGCTTTCAAACCATGCCCTGAGTCCCATCAGAGTTTAACAGCCCCTAAAGAAATGGTTAG